GTTGGCTATTGCGTGGGCCAAAAAGCAGCAGCCAAATGGCTTCTTGGCCCTCGCGGTGGCCAGAATTTGGTCGTCGTGTGAGGGCTTTGTGGCCGCAAAATTCAGCTGCCATGAGGCCCTCACGCGGTGTCCAAAATCTGGCCACTGTGAGGGCCAAGAAGCAGCCATTTTGGCTGTTGCGTGAGGGTCTCATGGTAGCTGGGAACTTGAGCGCGCACGATAGGCTGTGCGCGCAGCTGCCTGTATGCGCGCTGGAGTAGTGCACAGGGGGAGATGTGCTTGGACGTTGGTTGGGGCTAAGGGTCGAGCAGGTGGTGGGCGTAGTCAAAGAAAGGTGGTTTTTATGACTGACGACGAGAAAACGGCCAGAAAAAAAATACAAAATACAAAATCAACAACAACAAGAAACACTTCCATAAACAATCAATGTCCCTTCAACCAAGCTTCAAAACAAACTCCAATTGAAAACCCAATTTCAACTGTTGACAAGTCGTTGGGGAAGTGGTGGGTGACAACCAACTAGTAATCACAGCTTGGGGTGGTAGGGGTTTTAGAGAAGGGACACCGGTGGATCAAAAGGTGGTGTCGAGGTAGGTTTTCGTTGCTGGAATTGGCCAAAAATCGGTAAGAAGCGCGTGATTCCACTGAGCGACGGCCAGCGATTTGGCAGTGTAGAGGGGTGGAGATGATAGGGGTTTTGATGAGGGAGGTGAGGGGATATGTTTGGTTGTGTCAGGGCATTCCAAAGACATTGGGATCAAGTCAATTTGGCTAGAAAACGGCGATCGCAAGGCGAAGGAGGTCACGGGTGGAGGCGCAAATCTAGTGCAATTGGGCCAAATTTTGGTCAAAGGGGGGCCGGGGGAGTTCAAACGGTTCTGGGGAGTGATTCCTGCCGGGTTTGGTGGATTTTCCGGCAAGGAAGCAACCAAAATGGCCGTTGGAATTTATGAATCCATGGGTGGGTTTTGTCAAGGGCAATAGGGTAATAGCACTCAACAGTCACTCACTGTGGTCATTTAAGGGTGGGAATATGAAACCAGGGCAATTTGGCTAAACCTTGGGTGGTAACTTGTCGTTTACTCTACAAATAATTCTCCCCGTTAGGATACAGTCCGTGACTATTTCAATAAATTAAAATGTTATTCTTAGATCCATACAAAAAAGATTATAAAGTGACATCATTCAGAAGAAAAAAACAAAAAAAATGGAAAAAGAGAAAAAGAGAGATAAATCATAAAAATCAAAGATTAGGATTGCCTTTGTATGTCTTTTTTATATATGTCTTTGTAAAACTAGCATTACTCTTCAATAAATCAAAGCAATGATGTTAGCCATTTTTGTGAAATTATGAGTGCAATAGCTCTTAGCTGTGAGATGGGCTTTAATAAAAAAAAATTGCAGTTTGATGCATTTCCTAAATCATTTCTCACACCTAGCAATATTCTAGATATATTAAATATATATTACTCCAGTTTGGTGCTAGTGGTTGGGCCACAAATTAAAAGCTACCAGTGGAGGGTGGCTTGGATTGTTGGGCCAGTTACTCCTCTTCCCAACTCTTTCCTCAGTAGTGGCTTCTTCCCAATTCTTGCAGCATTAGTGTCGTCTATATCAAATAAGGCATTACACAGTCACGATACAGAAAAAGAAAATCATGGCTCTCAATTCTGTTTCCAATAAATGAATGAACCTTTCTTAAAGTAATAAGTAAACATTCATATTTCTACGGTTTAAAAACTAAAAAAAAATTGTCAATGATGGATTTACTTGATATAAAATTGTTTTTTAATACAGCAGACTATAACAGACTACAACCAGAGAACACATAATACCAGTCAAATTTATTTCCGAATTGCTTGTGTTTGCTGACGAAGCCAATGGTGAGATTGCATAGGATGCCCTCAAATTCAAATATCTAAGAAGAGAAAAGGGGGATCCTCATTCATTTTCGAAGAACACACAACTGTAAAAAATTTAATGAAAAAGGGTCTTCATTCATTTTTGAAGAAAACTAATGTACAGATTTTGCATGGATGTGGCTAAACTGTATTTCAGCAACGCTTTTTTGAGATTGGAAGATGAAAAATTAGAACGGAAAGTTTTTTGAGAACGGTGCCAAACTGACCTTTGTTCATTTTGATTTATAATTATACTTCATGCATGGGCTCCTTTTCACTCCTTTTTCTCTCCTACTGCAAAAGTAACGCCTATCAACGGCTGTCTGCCCGTCTCTAAACATTTCCCACAAATTACTTTTAAACCTCTAACATTTTACTCTAAATCCATCAACTTCCATTGCTTTCAGATTTATCAACCCAATCCTAAATTTTTATTTCCAATATTTTAGTGAATATTGTAGCTGAACGTACTTATTACACATAAAATATACAGAAAAACAAACAAATAAAACTACTGAGAAGAAAGAGGAGAGAATTGCCAACTTTACGAAGTTCAGCAATAATCTCGACAATGATCATCTAATTACGAGAAACGTCATTGTAGATTAATGCTGAAATTTTTGCCCTCTTTATAGCTACACAAAACTGCGTCTGTTTAGATGTTTTAGTGTTTGTTGCGACTTGGGTACTACATTGTTGTAGACTAAGTAAGATTTAAATCATCTACTTAAGCGGGATGGCGTCAATGTATTGTTCTCGTTGTTGGGCAAGTAACACTTAAAACGTATTGGTACGTAGACAATGCTTTAATGTATGTTGATGTGAAAATCTGCGCCGGCCAGAATATTGTCCAAAACGTACTGGATGGCGATGTCCGGACTGGGATTCCCCGGCTTCTATTAGGCTCGAGTTGGGCGTCTATTCCTGCACAACAATGTACATTAATACAAACTAATGAACTATTGTGACTCGGACACTGCATCGGTGTAGGTGATAAACAAAATTTTCCATCCAAGATATGATACAAACATGCATCGAGCGTTAACTCAAGTTCATAGAGTATTGCGACACTGCTATTTGCATCCTTATAACTTTGTTTATCAACACTGGCAACGTCGAAACATTGGTTTAGTCTTGTGAGATCCTCTTACATATTAAAAGAAATTATGNATCTACATACGAATATATAATATGAAAATAAAAGTGGTACTAGCTAAATATAAAACTTACATGACAACTGGCAGAATTTTTTTTAAATCGATTGGACAATTTTATTAATCCCACTTCCTCTCTCTCATCTCTATTACACTGCTTTCTCTGCTTTGTTTTAGAGTAAATAACATTTTCATCCCTAAGGTTTGAAGAAAGCAACTTTGATCTAGTAAAATCTTAAAAAGCCACTATAGTCCCTGTTAGTGTTAGATAGAGGTGGTGGGTTCGGGTAGAGGTGGGTATTTGGGACTGGGTCCAAAAACCTAGTCTAAAAACCCGGTCCTAGGAGACCTGGTCCCAAAACGGGACCAGGCCTAAGGAGGAGGGCCCGGTCCCTCTACTAGGCCCTCCTCCAAGGCCCGGGCTGAGCCCAAACTATTGGGGTTACATGGATTTCTGTGAGAAGGAGAAGAAATGAGTGAAGTTTTGAAGAAGGGAGTTGAAAAAGGAGCAGTACCCGCCCTTGATAACAGGTTTTCAGCTTCACTACCCGTCTGCTAGCATTGCATTGTATCAGCCAACCGTTGGTTTTCATTCCCGCTAAAGTGGATAATTCTTATTGTACACCCCTATGTAGTGTAGGATGATGAAAGCTGATGGGCTGGTTGCAATGAGCACGGTTGCAGCGTATATTTTCTCCTAGTTTAACGATCCACAATCCATAACATTGATGATGATGAGATCTAATGTAATGGGTCATCATCAAACATTAGCCTTATCTTTTCTGGACTCTTTTGATTTATTTTACAGTTGTCATATTGACTTTTAACTGTTGTTCACCATCAAGAAACTTTCAGAATCCCTCACCTCCATTTATTCTCAATTCTTCTGCTTTTTCCTCTGCAGATCGTTTCTCCGTTTCCAATATGGCTACTCCTGCTCCGGCTTTGAAGTCAAGGTGAGAATCTCTTTTAGTCTTTATGCAATTATGTCTTGATAATAAATATGCTCAATTAAAATAAATCCAAACGATGAACTACTGAGCAAGCTTTAATTTAAACACTTACTTTGAAACATCTGCAATATCTATGATACAATACTTGGTTAAAGCCTACAATTTGCATGATCAATTAAGCAGGTTCTTTAGAGGGCACCGAGCAGCATATGGTGGTGCTGTAAATATTGCCGTAGATAGGGACGAAAGGAGAGAACATGGATTAGGAACAAAATCCGGACCTCTTCTATCTACAGCTGCTTACTGTGTTTCTTCCTGCAGCATGATTCCTCTAAATAAAGTTGTTCTGTCAAGTTATAATTTCAATGTTGGAATATCATTGATGTTTTATCAAGTATGTTACTTGTCTCAATCCGAATGTCGCATGTTGAGTGATCAGTTTTCTTCGCTGCAAGGATACAAATTTATTCAACAAAGAACTTTGTTTTGGTTTTGAATTGCTCATAAATCATCAATTTTTTACTCAAAATAAAAAAGATTACCTTTCGAATATGGTCTCTGCTTTCCATCATGTTAGCTGCTGGGTTTGAGAACTAATCAAGTTCATCTATGATTTCAAAAAAAAAAAAAAACAATTAAAAGGATGTTACTCATTTATCCCATCACACACACATGCACATGCACACACATAAACACATACTGTATATGCATTAAATGTGACAAAGTAAGAGAAAGTTGTGCAATTCTTGGAAGCTAATACATTGTGCAGTAGCCAAAACATATCATATACAATTTGATAGAGATCTATGGACAAAATCATACCATTATGTTGTGTACCATAATCAATCTATAACTTCACATGGAAAATATATGTAATGTATGAAAGAAATAATACCAGACATTGATAGAGTTAGAATGTCATCACTAATAACCATGCTGGTTCCCAAAAGCACTACCAGTAGCAATAGAAGTTACTCACTCCTCAATTGATCTTACATTTTATCTAGTTTTCTAGCACAACTCTTGTGTTCTACAAAGGGTTGCAATCTCACAATACAAACATCATAAGTTCATGTCTTAGTCAAACATATCATAAGAAAATAATGGGAAGGAAACAAAAAAGAAATGAAAACCTGTTAGAATCATTCACAATGGCTTCAAAAACAACCTCATCAACCTACAGGAAATCTCAATTCAGTTAAATCACAAAAACAATCAAACACCGCCATCAAATTTCCAATAAACATTTGAATTCTTCACACAAACATACCTGCCTAGCAAGGCCAAGGCTAACACAATCAAGAATCTTGAAATCAGACATCTTGAACCTCATAACATGCCTTGACTCTTCTTCCTCCATAGAAACAACCTCAGATTCAACTCGAGAAACAACCTTCCTCGAAGATGAACATTGAACTCCAAAACTTCTCCTCTGAAACATCACACATTACTTTGACTTCCCACAAATTGCCTACTAATAAGCCTTGTTGACAAATTCCCACTTAAACTCCATCTCTCAACACCCTCCAAACCCAGACTGGAACCAATCCCACATATCACCATATAGCCAATCTGCAAAAAGACAATTTTGGATCATTCT